TGGGCTTTTGGTGGTAACTACTGAATAAATGAATCAAGTAACTAAGAAATGAATGAAGCCTGGAGGTGATGGCAACTCCAATCGGTATCTGTCTGGCTTACAATTTCCCCAAGTACGTTAGTTTTTCATATCCCTTTATCTTCCCAGGATCAATCATCAGGACTAACTAAAGGGCACCTGCTTTACTCAGGGGATGGTTACCCAGCTCTGAGGGCTTCTTTTCCAAGGGGACAACCTCTGGCTGCCCAGAAGCTGTTCAATGACCTGCATTCATTCTCAGTGGATTCCTGGGCTCATTATGTTGCCTCAAGACATTCAAGGCAAACGAAACCTTTCAGCAACCTCAGCAACCGCCAAGGAATTAAAGGAGAAAAGGGTTGTTTCCTGGAGGGTTGGGATGGGGATAGCAGTTACTGTGAGTTTGAGTAAAGGTGGAGATTTAGGGACATCTTACTCTCCATAAGACATACTTAACAGGTAATCTGCTTGGATCTGATGCCTTTGAAATTGATTTTACCAAATTAAAAATGTCCCTCGATTACTTTCAGATGAATTAGTCAGTTTTCTCTGCCCCATCCAAATAAACGTATGTGTATTTTTCTATAAACACACCCAGCTGATGCTGAGATAATTCAGTGTATTCTCTCGAGTTCCACCAAGGGAAAGCTTGCCCTTCTGACACTTTCTGGCTCCTTCATGCCCGTAGCATGCTGAGTGGGGGATTTCTAAATGGACTGTCAGTGCCAGAATCTAGATTCCCAGGCAAAGCCTGATGCTCTGCAGGACGCAGCTCATTCAGATGCCAGGAGGGCCTTGCAAAGCTGAGCTGTTCACAGAGTATTTTATGCCTGTGTTCTAGTAAATACTTCAGAATATGTTACAGTAGCAAGGGCATGTAAAGACTTCTTGATTATGTGTTTGGCTTTAGGAACAACATGTGAAAGAAAAGTTAAAAAAACTAATTTTATTAATATGACTGAAGACTGAGGCAGGAGGATCGCTGTGAGTTTGAGACCAGCCTGGGCTACATAGTGAGTTCCAGGTCAGTCTCAACTACATAGTGAGACCCTGTCTCAACAAAGAAACAAACAAACAAAGACTGAAGAAAGATAAGACAGGGAGTTGTGCTCTTCACAGAGAAAGCAAAAAGGAAGCTAAGCTTTTTGAGTTCAGTGTACTGCAAAACTGGAGTATTTTCAGTTCATAGAATGGGGGAAATATAACAGAGGAAGGCGATACACTAACTCTTGTTAAGGAAGAGAAATAACATATGCAACACATGGACTGGGACATCGGGGGTGCAGCTCAGTGGTAGAGGGCTTGGCCAGCAGGTAACTATTGAATAAATAGTATGAGGCCCTGGGTTGGCTCCCCAGCACCACACAGAAAGGCTGTGGAGCCATGATAAAGCAGTGTAAGACAGCAGTTTGAAGGAATGGAAAAAAATTTTTGCCAACATTTTAAAACCAAGAAAACATTTTTTTCCCTCAAAGCACCAAACACTGCAAAATAAGGAGGTAGGGAAAGCTGGAGTAGCTGAGGAAGATTTTTGTCAGGTGTGGGTAAGAGGATGAAGTCATTCATGTATTCAGGAAGTATTTGTTGTCTTGTTTAATATTTGAGGGAAACCAAAAATAAGATTATTTTTTAATCCCAAAGAGGTAGCACAGCTGACAGATGAAGGGTCGATTATTTTATCACTTAAATTGTAACCACAATGTGGATGTTGATAAAGTACCACTGCACTTGACTTGTTTACTGTCACCAAGGCATTATCAGTGGCGCATTTGATGGTCTTTAATCAAGACAGAATTCCCAAGGTGACTTTAAAAATCAATGAAATTAAAAATTCTTTGAAAAAAAATCGTAAATATAGTTGATACTGGCTGTGCAATATTTCAGTGTATAAATATACTAAAATGTACTTTTTTTTCATTGAAAAAAATAAACTTTAAGGTGCTCAAGACACTGCTGGCAGCTTAAGCTATCTCCCTGGAGTTTATACTTGTTTCTATTCACGCAGACACACGGCACACCTGAAGTTCTATTCATCTGACAATGCTAGCAGGTCCTCAGTCAGGCACCTTACTTACTGCCTGGCCTGGCGCGAAGCTTCCATCCCGGCACTGCTGAGGTCAGACTGGTGTTTTGCTTCAGATTTCTGTCATTGTACTTAAGCTTTTCTAATGTTATGCATTTAGGCTTTCCTTCCCTACTTTCTGTAAGGTTGCTATGAACATCTTGGAACCAAACCTTTATTGATATACAAAAACATTTCGTAAGGATTCCTGGAAAGAAAATTACTAGATGCAAATGACTATCATAAATAAAACTGATGTTAAGATAACTGTTTTTCAGAAAGATCCAATTATACGAGTATCCAGTTAGGTGTGAAAGCTTGCCAGATTATAGTACCATTAAGAGCACAAAGAAACTATTTGTCAGTAACTTTTTCATAGGTAAAATGACATCATTTTGACTTAAACCTATGTTTTTTCCCCAATTGCTGAGATTTGCTTTTATATAAACTTTTTTTTTTGGTACTTGGGATCAAACTCGGGTCCCTTGCACTTACTAGACAGGTGTCGGAACCACTGAGTTAAACCCCTTGCCCCCCTTTTGGTACTAGGGATCAAACTCAGGATCTTGTGCTTGCAAGGCAGGCAGTAGTGCCACTGGGCTAAATCCTTGGCTTGAGATTTACTTTTAAAACTGTATTCCATTTGTTTATTTAAAAATGTTTTTCCTTTTCTAACGAGTAATATATATATATAAAATTTTTTTTTTTTTTTAAGACAGCATCACGCAGGTTAGGCTGGTCTTGAACTCAGAGTGATCCTCCTGCCTCAGCCTCCCAAGTACAGGGGTTACAGGTTTGCCACCATGTTATTTCTAGTAGTCTTTTTTGATACCAGGACCTTAGTGAATGGAGTCACAATTTGTGAAAGCACCTTTCTTGCAGGGGATGGAGGGGGGTTGAGACAGGGTCTCACTGTAGTTCAGGGTGGCCTCGAGCTCACTATGTAGCCCAGGCTGGCCTCAAACTCTCAGTAGTCCTCCTGCCTCAGCCTCCTGAGTGCTGAAATTATAGGCACAAACCACCATGTCCAACTGTGAAAGCAACCTTTTAACATCTACACCATAATTCTGATTGGTTATCTACGTAATAATGTGTGGTCTAGATGCCAATATGTAAAGTGATAATTCTATTACCTGAAAGGTATTACGGACATTAATTTAATCTACAAAGCTGTAGTATGAGAGTGAAGAATAAAGGAAGGTGTTTCCACCAGCTCCTCCACACATGGAGCTCTCACTTTGCTCAGAACGTTGTTTCTGACGTGAGACCTTGTGAGTTTTGAATGGTCATGTGGATTAGTATTAGTTCACATATTAAATATTAGTGAGGTTTCTTTTGGTTTTTTGAGACAGGGTCTCATTATGTAGTTGAGACTGACCTGGAACTATGTAGCTCAGGCTGGTCTCAAACTCACAGTGATCCTCCTGCCTCAGCCTCCAAAGTGCTGGGATTACAGGTGTGCGCCACCATGCCTGGCAAAAATATTCTATTTTTTACTCAGTACACTTTGTAACTTTTTGTAAAAAACTCTTTATAAAGTATTACTACTAATGACTAGTATTTCCTTTACTTAAATCAGTTAGCTGTTATAATTTATTATAGGCCATGACAAACTGTTATAATTCATAGTTCTTTTGAACTGTATTTGACGTTAAGCTAAGATTTTCTGTGTGGTCTGAATGCAGCAGTGTCTCCAGCTGCACGACTGGGGACACATGAATTGTACAGCGGTTTCCACAAGTCTCTACTGTCCCGTCCCTCAGTATAGTTCGCGTGTGTGCGGTTACGCGGTAGAGATGCCGCTGTGTGCAAATGCTGAACTGACCGAGATGGCCTGAAGGAGAGACAGCACTTATTGCCTGGTTCTGTAAACATGTTTTTTTCTAGCTGTAAAATGTTGCAGACATTTTGTAATTATAGTAAATTATTAAATATAATAAATCTACGCAAAAATTATCTTAATTTTTCCATTAAAAATTTTGACTTTAACATTGTAGATTAATGTATTTTTAAATAACTGTAAAAAACTCTATGCTTTTCTCTATATGTCACTTTAGTTTTCTACTCAAATGGATGAACATATTCTGAAGGCTAACTCTAGCTATGCCCCCGACTAAGCCTTGTGGGAAACCGGGCAGGCTGAGAAAGGACACTTTCCTGGGGACTATCCACAAGGGATATGTTCAGTTTTCAGACAATTTGCTGCCAACACCCTTTAACCAAGCATACAGACGAGAGCTAGGCGACTGGCCCCACCTAGTGGCATCTCAAAGAAGGGAGGTAAAGCTAAAAAACCAAAAACCCAGCTCTCCACGTTACAACCTTCTTGTAAAGATCCAGTCTCAGACTTGCGACGGGTTTCTGAGATGGGCGAAGTCTTCAGAGCCCCGCATGTATTTACTAGAACACGGACACTAAACCCAAGCAGCCAAGATCAGAAAATGAACTGCAGGACACCTGCTTGGGGTTGGAGTATTTTGTTGGTGTGGGAGAGAAAACCACACCCATACATTTTGATGAACTTGTGTTCCGTGAGTAGGAAAAACTGTTTTTTCTAATCTCATAATAAATTAAAGAGAGAACTGAGACCCAGGCGTGAGTTTCAAGTGCATGCTCTTTGTATGTGCTGCTTTCTACTAAAATCTTCATATAATCCCCAAGTAGTCAGGTACGGTCACCTTTTCTTAAACTAAAACATCTTTAGTCAAAACTACTGAAAAGGAGAAAGAATATTTTATGGGCTACTTTTCTTTTTTCTGGTGCTAGCAAGTGAACCCAGGGCCGAGAGGGCTGCGGAGGTGCTCTCTTCTGTGCTGCGACCCCCAACCCTCCAGTCACTCTTCCTCGTTCAGACAGACAGCTGCATTCAAATACGTGCGATGGGGTAATGGAGAAAATAAAGAAACTGCATAATGTGCTACTGACTCTATGGTAACACTGCTCGAGGACATTTTATTCACTTTAAAATAAATACTGCGATTTAAACTACCCAGAACTAAGATCTGTAGCATACAGTAGGCGAGTACAATGGACCGCCAGAACAGTGCGCGGTTAGGGCAACATTCAAAACCAGAGAACCGTTGCCACTCTACACCAGAAACACGCTCTGGGGACACACAAGAAAACAGGTAAAAGCTTGAGGAGAGAAGCAACTTATCACAAGTAAGAGCTTCTTTAGATTAACAGCAGTGAAGAAAATTCACATAGGAGGCTCTACTTTGTGCCCATTTTCTAGTTTAATGTCTGGCAGAGAGCAGCTGAAAATGTGTTAAAAGGATTTTAGACATTAAAATTTACACATTTTACATGGTCTCTCGTTTAAATAAATACTTACCAATTTGTTATCTTTACTTCATTAGCTAGTTATATACACTATAATTTACATTATAAAATTTTTTAAAGATTCTTTTAGTTAAGTACAACAGTTACAACATTCAGAGGAGCTGGAACCATTAATTTGCTTGGATAAGATTTATTTTGGAATCACATTATCCAAGCAAAGACAAAACACAATCAGTTCATATGACACAAAGGAACACACACACACACACACACAAAAGTGAGATAAATGTCTGTCTTAGAAGTTTATCAATAACCTCTTATATACAAATATACATTCACAGAGTGGTTGAGAATCCTTTTATACAATCCTTTAGATGAGGTCCATGGCTGTGAGTTCTGAGACACATGGTCAGAAATTATCATGACTTTCAACTATCTTTTCTTCCCTTCAACTTTAATATCCTTCAGTTGGGGAGAGAAAGAAGTCCATTTTCATCTGCTGTATCTAAGATTTTACAGATCACTGGAGATTCAACCTAAACAACAACAAAGCCATTAAAAAGTTGATATGCTGAATACTAATTCATTCACTACTCTGTAGAATAAATACATTTGCTACATATATTTGAGTCTTTATTGTGGATCACCTGTCTGGCCCTTTTCACAGTTCATGAACTTAAATTGTTGTACGATTTTGGCAAAGATGGTCACATTTGGGTTCGTGTGGGAAAGATGGCCTTGGTAGTGCCTGTCATCTGATGTTGAGTTTGCAAACAAACAAACAAACAAACAGAAATTCTGCCAGATACTTCTGCTTGCAAACTAAATTTTTTGCAAATAGAAGTTTGAGGCACCACTATACTAGGGGTTGAACTCACGGGCTCTGCCCTGAGCTACGTCCCTAGTCCTTTTTATTTTGAGACGGGGTCTCACTTGCCCAGGCTGGGCTCAGCCTCCCAAAGTGCTGGGATTACAGGCATGCCCACCATGCCTGGCTTCAACATGATTTCTACAAATCGAAAACAATTTTTAGTTATCCATATCAACTGTGAGGTATGTGGAGAAAATATTTTTATCACCGAGTAATTAAGGGAAGAGAGAAAACATGGAAAGCACAGGAATAGGAGGAATGCGTAGACAGAATTTTTTTTTTTGGTACTGGGGATCGAACTTAGGTCTTAGGCAGGCAGCAGAACCACTGAGCTAAATCCTCGGCCCAGTAGACAGATCTGATACAGGAACAAAACAAAACAAAACACAACACATTATGGAAAAATGATGTTACATTTGAAAGGCATATAAAACATAGCTAAAAACAACAACAACAACAACAACAAAAGTAGCTCAAAGATAGCCCAGAAGTTGAAATGATCAGATGATGTGACAATTATAAAATATGATGAAGAAAACGGGTGTGGTGACATATGCCAGTAATCCCAGCACTCTGGGAGGCTGAGGCAGAAGGATCTCAAATTCAAACCCAGTCTGGGTGAATTAGTGAGACCCCCATCCTTAAAAAAATATAAAAAGGGGGCCAGGGATTTAGCTCCGTGGTTCTGCTGCCTGCCTCACAAGCACCAGGTCCAGAGTTTGATCCCTGGTACACACACACACAGACAGATAGACACACACATATATAGGGGAAAAGGATATGGCTCAGTGCAAAGGCCTGGGATCAATCCTCAGTTTTGGAAAAAAAAAAAATGAAGACAACAGTGGTAAAGGCAGACAACACATGTGACCGACTAGAAGGAATTACAGCAGAGAAAGGGAAACTATGGGGAAAAGCAAAACAATCTGGAATCAGGTTAGGTGTGGAAGCTCGTGCCTGTAGTTTCAGGTAGTTGAGAAGCTGAAGGAGGAGGACTGCAAGGGTTATCCTGGGCAACTTAGCAAGATTTTATCTTGAAATAAAAAATGAGCTGGGGGTATAGCTCAGTGGTAGGGTGCCCCTAGGAGTGACCTTCAGTATGAAAATAAGAAACAAAGACTAAAATGGAAATGCTAGAGATAAAATATATCACAGATGATGCTGGAGATGAAGTGGACACAGGAGAGACACTTGTCTCAGTGTCTAACCCTGAGACCAGTTACTAGAAATGATTCAAAATGAAATAAAGGAAAAAAAAGTGAGACTAAGGAAGACTCTGAGATGGGATAGTTTCGTTAAACTAACATGTTTAATTGCAGTCCTAGAAATAGAGGAGGAAAAAATGTAGCAGAAGAAATCACTGAAAAGATACTGGAGTCTATAGCCATAGCATCCTGAATGCTCCCGGTCTCATTTGATCTTGGAAGCTAAGCAGGGATGGGCCTGGTTAGTACTTCGATGGCAAAGGATAATGCAGCTGAGCACGGCAGCACATTTCTGTTAATCCCAGCACTCGTGAGGCTGAGGTAGGAGGATTGTTCTGAGATGGAGGGCAGCCTGGGCTGCACAGTGAGTTCAACACCAGCCCGAAAGGCTGGGGATTTAGCTCAGTGGCTCTGCTGCCTGCCTCGAAGAGCAAGGACCTGAGTTTGATCCCCAGTACAAAACCAAACAAAACAAAAAACTGAAAAAGACCAGCCAAGATTTTTCTCAAACTCATCAATTACGTGAAACTACAAATCCAAGAAGCTCAGTGACCTCCTAGTAGGATGAATGCAGAGGGAAAAAAAAATCACATTCAAGCTCAATTAACATAAAGGTAGAATCAAGCCAGGTGTGGTGGTGTCCCACGCCTGTGGTCCCAGCACTCAAGAGCCTGAGGCAGGACGGTAACTATGGGTTCCAGGACAGCTTGGGCAACATAGTGAGTTCAAGGTCAGCTTGAACTCCTTAGCAATACCCCATCTCAAGAAACCAGGAAAAAAAAAGTATATCCATAAAGTTTTTAGAAGAAAATAGAGAAGAATATCTTTACGACTTTACTTAGGACCCAAATAGCATTAATCATAAAAAGAAAAAAAAGTTGATAATAGAATTTAAACAGTTTTGCTCATTAAAAGACATCTAAAAAGCTGGGTGTGGTGGTGCACGCCTGTAATCCCAGCACTCAGGAGGCTGAGGCAGGAGGATCACTGTGAGTTCGAGACCAGCCTGGGCTACATAGTGAGTTCCAGATCACTTTCAACTACATAGTGAGACCCTGTCTGGAAAAAAAGAGAGAGACATCTAAATATTGAATAAGCAAGCCACCAACTATGAAAAAGATGTGCAATACAAGTACAGAGCTTGTATCTAGAATATTTGAATGTCCAAAAAACAAGAAAACAAACAAGAGCAACAACAACAGCAACAAAAATGGGTAAAAGATTGACAAAGATATTCTCTATGACTCAATTTTAGGCTCCCCCGAATCTCTTTCCAGTCTTTTCCGAATTTCTTTCATTCTTGAACCCTGTCTTTTGGCTGCCTAATCCACTAGCAAGAATTCTGTCAAAACATTATGCACGTTAAAAAGGCCAGACACAAAAATCATACGCTGTACATTCCACTCAGGCTGAGTATCCAAAAGGAAGCACAGTTAATCTCTTATGTCAGAAATCAGAAAGGGCTCTTTTGGAGAGGGGGTAAGGAGTGTTCACTAGAAAGGGCTACAAGAGAACTGGCTGCAGTGACAGTTACTTTGTTTGGGATGACAGTCCAAAGGGCATACAAAGTTGTTAAAACCAGGCAAACTCAACACTAAGATCTGTGCATTTGTTTTAAATTATATCTCAATAAAACACAAGTCAACTATCACAGAAGTGGCAAGGGAGCTATTATTAAGTCTTAAATACTAATAAAGGTCCCTCTTAGACCTAATGCAACAAGTTAAAACATGGCCCCAAACCAAACTTTCGGATATTTTTTTACTTACCCCAAGAATATACTGACAGGAGTGAGGCTCTAGCATATACACAGTGACAGCATGAGGAGAGTCTGATTCTTTACACCTAAAAGACAGGTGATTTAAGGTACTGCCAAATCATTCGAAGTATTGCTTTTCATAATAATCTTTTTTCTTTTTTGCAGTGCTGGGGATTAAACTCTGGGCCTTGAAAGCACTAGGCAAATGTTCTACCACTAAGCGACAATTTATAATCTTTCCTTGTTATTTTTGAGACAGGGTCTCGCTATATAGTTCAGGCTGGCCTCAAACTCAGGCAATCTTCCAGCTTCAGCCTCCCGAGTGCTGGGATCACAGGTGTGTGCCACCACGCCCAGCTTGTTATAGTCTTAAATTTCAAACATCCCGTTGAAATGGATGAACCCAGAATAATTTAAACAACTTAATAATAATTCATAATTATTCTTCATATTTATATACAACTTCTGTCTAGAGAGAGCAGATAAATGGGAAAGACATAAAGCATGATTTGAAGGTTCAACTTACTTTAGTTTTACAGTCACTTGTCTTGGTTTGTCAGTTATATCACAAATATCTCCATTCCCGTAAAAATGTGAGACCATCCTGAATCAGAGAAATATACAAGCTTTAGTAAACTAAAGCCTCACTAATTCTGCACAACAGTAATGTACAACGTGAGAAGATGGTGAGGGTTTTTAGGGTTGTGAAGACTGTTAGGAGACTATAAATTCAAGATCATTTGTGTTGTCTTAATACAACATCTTAAACTTGCATATTATTTTTACAGAAATAATTCAGGTTGAAGTACTAAGTATTTTTGTTTTCTTTTGTTTTGTTTTTTGAGGCAAGGTCTCACTGTGTAGTTCAGGCTGGCCTTAAACTCACTAGGAAGCCCAGGCAAGGCTCAAACTGGCAATCCTACCGTATCAGCCTCCCGAGTACTGGGATTACAAACGTATCCCACCATCATATCTGGCTCTAAAAAAGTTCTTTTAAACTGGGTGTGATGATACACGCCTGTAATCCCAGCACTTGGGAGCATGAGGCTGGAGGATGACTCCAAATATGAGGCCAGCTTGGGCTACACAGTGAACTCAAGGCCAGCCTGAACTATATAGTGAGACCCTGTTTCCAAAAGCCAAAAGAGTTACCCATTTTCCTAGCTATCAGCATATTCTTTGTTTTTAACTACCATTAATTTCATTAAAATACTGTACTGTAGGTGGCACAAAAGGTAAGTGTAGGCCAAGCTACACATCTCAAAGGAGTGGTTAGTATTCTAGTCTCATCCTCCTTTGCTTCAATACTTCTGCACATGATCCATACACGACAGTCACATGAGCAGTCCACGAGCATGTTCAGTGTATCAGAATACTTGAGTATTTACAGAGTAATTTTGCTAAGTCAAGATAGCACACACTGAAAATATTCTCTTAATACCATCTTTCCCAGGAGAGACAAAGGGACACCTGAAAAGGCGTAAGAGTGAACAATTTAAAATGCAATGGCCAAGGTACATGACATACTAAAGCTCAGTTATTCTTGGGAAATGAGACTCCTTTTTCTGTTATAACAAAATACACTCGTATAACCCAAAAGAGATGTGTGGTAGCTTTTCAAAGTCATTCTTTAACTATTTTTAATCATTACCTTACAAATGGTGAGCAATAAAGGGAACTATTAGAGTACATCAGAACAGAATTAAATAATTTCAGATAAAGGTTATACATGACAGAGGGAAATGCTTTACGGAACTGAGCCATTGTGAATACCACTGCCACTTTCATTAGCATACCAATCGCGTTAACTTCAAGCTAAACACTATTCTGTAAATGAATTACCTCTCAATTATGCTATGTGCAATCCAAAGATCATTAAACAAGAAAAGGGAGGCTTAAAATGACTCTGTAACTTGTCTGAGGTATTAAGTGATGGGCCAGCCAGCATTTAAATTGAGAGATAGTGCTCTTAACAACCATATGGTGTTACCCCCCCCCCCCCAAATTGAAAGATACCTCTGGGAAAAACAAAAACAAAAAACCCCAACTCTGACCTGGGATTTTACTTCTGTGTTTAAATGTTTACGTGTATCAATGTTCTGAGTTTTAAAAATTTACTATCACATCCATAGGCAAATAAAATCGGTTTTTACCTGACTGTCTGGGTCCCATCATCCTGAAGATGATAGGCTCTGGCAGTATTCTTCTTTGCCCACTCAATATGCTCTTCTTGGTTCCAAGTCCCCACAACCACAGAAGTTTTCCCACTGTCCTTGTCCTAACACACGACAAACAAACATTTATGCAGATGACTGAGCTTCTTCTAAGCCTCAGTCCTCATTTTCATTTGCACACCTGACATCTCCCTTCAAATGTAATGATATTAGTCAAACTCAGTGAGTGAAATCTATCCTTTTTATTAGTTATTTCTCTGAATATTAACTAATCTCTACTCAGGCTAGCTCTAGATATAGTTATTGTTTGACTCACATCTTTTCCCTCTCCTGTAGCAGTTGCTCCAATTTTTCCTCTATACCTTTTCACTGCCAGCACATCCCCTCTAAACCAACCCAAAGATCAATCTCTCATAGCTAGACTGTACAATCACGTACTACTGTGGTGTGCGTGTGCGCGCACTGGGGACTGAACCCACAGCCCCATGCATACTGGGCAAGTATCACTGAGCCACAACCTCAGGCCCAGGACTGTGATTCTTAATTAAACCTTTGGTCGCTATCTCTGTTGTCATTTAAATGTGTGCTAGAAATCTAACCCTCAGTAGAACAGTGACAGGAGGCAGGATGTACCAGGAGGCATTTAGGCACAGAGCTGCAATCTTATGAATGGACTAAAGGCAATTATAAAACATTGAAAACTTTGTATTTCATCTTTCACTCCCTCACCTTCTTGCTTCCTGAGATAGAATGAAGCAAGAAGAAGGACCTTACCAGATGCTGGCAACTGGGCTTTCTATCCTATAGAAGTGTGAAAAATAAATCCCTTTTCATTATAAATTACCTGATCTTTTTCAAGTGGTTTGCAAGTTCAACACTAGTCTGAGCTACATATTGAAACCACGTCATCAGAAATAAAAATAAAACAAAAATCACCCACATTGTGGTACTGTTAGAGCAACACAAAACAGGCTAAGAATCTTATCCTGGAGCCCATTTTTTTTTTTTTTTTTTTGTTTTGGTTTTTTGAGACAGGGTCTCACTATGTAGTTGAGACTGACCTGGAACATATCATTATGTAGCTCAGGCTGGTCTCGAATTCATAGCAATCTTCCTGTCTCAGCCTCTCTAGTGCTGGGGTTACAGGTGTGCACCACCATGACCGGCGCCTGGAGCCCATTTTCAATCTACTTCTATTCTTTTCAGTGCAAAACTTCAAGTACACTGGTCTTCTTTTATTTTATTTTGTTCTTTTAAAGAATATTAGTCTTCTTACTATTTGACTATTTATTTCTGTATCAAAATTATCTGTCCAGAAATTCCCTTTCCCATTTTGTAATTATTTTTTAAAAAAGTCTATGTACTATCTTATGTAGGAGTTCCTTCCTTCCTTTGGCTTTGTACCTTCTCATCTTCTTTTTTTCCCTTCCTGTCTTTTATGCCAGGATATTATGCTCGCTATAGTATACAGTTCTGTTACATTTTTCTGCAGTACTGGGACTGAATCCGGGGCTTTCCTTATGTTAGGCAAGCCCTCTATGACTGAGCTGCCTACATACCCAGCACTTTTTATTTTGAGACTCGATATTGCTAAATTGCCCAGATGGCCCAGAGCTCATGATCCTCCAGCTTAAACCTGTGGAGCAGGGGTTATGGGTGTGCCCATCAGGAACCAATAACACTTCTAGTTAGTAAATTAAAAATCCATGCCACTTCTCTAGTGGAACTTACTGATTAATGGGAAGACATAACCTTTACACAATTGTTTCAGTAACCCGACTGCAAGTTCCTAGACAGGGAACAACAAACTGAGTGTTTAAGGGGCTGGCTAGGGAGCAGGACTGTCTTGGTTTGAATTCCAATTTTTTTTTTTGGTACTAGGGTTTGAACTTGGGTCCTTGCGCTTGCAAGGCAGGCAGCAGAACCACTGAGCTAAATCCCTGGCCCCTGAATTCCAATTTTATCATTTACTACTTAATGCAATTTCTGGCAAGTTAGTCTATCATTGTTTCTATTTCTTCATTTTGGGGTAACAATTCCAATTACCTCTTAAGGCTGTTTTGAGGATGAAATGAGTCTCTATGTGTAAAGTACTTAGTACTTGGCATAGAGTGAGCACTGTATTTGTTATCACCATTTATTCTTTTTTGCGATGCTAGGTCTCACACATAATAGACAAGCACTTTTCTACCAAGCTACATCTTCTCCAGCCCAATTCCTATTATTTTAAAAAAATTTAGGGCTGGGGCTTTAGCTCAGTGGTTCCTCTGCCTGCCTTGTAGATGAAAGGTCCCAAGTTCAATCCTCAGTAACCACCCCCTTACATATTATTCATTTCTTTGATTTTTACTATAGAACAAATTCCTGTTCTTTGCACTAAGCTATGACCCAACCCTAA